AATTATGGGATATTCAGATTTTAATCAGGTAGTTATTAGAATTACTGTCATCTGCCCTGGTGTTGCCCAGTTGTCTAGATATTTTTAGACTGGTGGCAGTTCTGTATCTTAAGTCTGTTCATCCTGTAAACATGCTAGATGCATAGCTGTGATCTGAAGAGCTTGCCCAGACATTAAATGTAATGTCTGATTTGCAGGAGAGGCCTACACAGTTAAATTTCTTGATTATTTTAAATACTTCTTGCCTAGAAAAGTTAATGTGGATGGATTTACACTGGCACAACTGTATTTTTGCTTGTAGGATTTTTATTTTGTTTATTGAAATGTTGCACACAATAGTAGCAAAAAAGCTGGAGGCTTGCTGGTATAGCTGTGGACAAAGACAGAGGAGGTGGAAACTCTGCCAGAGTGTGGAGTGAGGAATTTGAGGATAGGAGCAATAAAAGGCCACTTCAAGGCAAGAGTCTGGCAAAATGAAGACTGTTGTGAAAAATTTCCAGTATTTTCTCTTGCGTAACATTAGCTTTCTCTTTTATGTAAATATTCACCCTTCTTGAGAAGAAGTTAAAATTGTGTTTATTTACTTTGTCTTTTCCATTCTTATGGAAAAGATGCTGCCCATCAAAGTCAGTGAAAAGATAGGTTACTATACAGTGACATTTTTGTCTTTTGCAAGACACTGATCATGTTGTTTCTTGTTAGTCAAACACTTTTCCAGTTTCTGATACTACACTTGTTTTTAGAGCATTAGATCCCCATATGCTTTTACCACACAGACTTATTCTGAAGCCATTGTTCTGTGTTTGCAAATAGTTTGTAAAGCTTTTGTCTTGTTTCTTCATTCATGGTAGGCATCTGTTCTTTGCTATAACTCTAGTTTTATTTAGAGTAAACTTCCAGTTATGTTCATAAGTGTGTGTTTGTTTTTTTAAAAAGCACTGAGGAATGGGACATATTTCCAGTAAAAATAGATACCAAATCCAGTGTTTCTCAGGGATAAAGAATGGTGTAACATCTTGGTCATCTGATCCAGTTGTCAGCTGGACAAAAATGGCATTGTTAAGCCCTAGTTTGGTCCAGACCCATTTTATGGACATGAGTTTGTTCAATGGATGTTCTCATTCTAGTTAAGACTGCACAGGTGCTGTGCTCAACTAGGTCTAGATACTGGCTGGTGGGTGATTTTATGTTTACCTGTACTGACAGTACGATACATACATTATACCTGCTGTGCCTTTAAGTGCAGCAGTCCTCTTTGGACTTTTAAGTGTACTAATTATCTTGTTTGTGACTTTGAGAATGTATTGCTACAGTCACACCCTGGAGGTGTTTCAAATATTAAATGTAGACCTTTATTCAATAAATATTTCTGTCGTAGTACTAAGGCAAGGTAGTGTTTTGGGTTTTTTTCTAAATTAAAAAATATAACTATGAATCCATAGAATAAATCATTTCACCTGGAAAACAGGTGGCAGGGACAAGTTATGTTCAGCCTAATCTAATGTAAATACAATAGCAAGACATCACTTGCCATGCCAAAGTACTGAATACCCTATTGTCTAGAACCAGTTTTACTGTATTTGGTTCCCTATTAGTAACCACAGCTTTAGAAAACATTTAGAAAGATTAAGTCAACTATTTTAATTACCCCCTTGTATTGATGCACAAAGCCCTTCAATAGTAATTTTATTCCTGCTCTGAAGTCCTGATAACAGTTTTCAGATACTGTCCAATTTCAGTCTTTTCCACAAAATAGTTGAGATTAACCAGAAAGCTGAAACTGAAAGTAAATGCTGATTCCACTAGTGACAAGTTTTCTCTATTTAGCAGTGTCGTTTGAGGGCAAATGCAGCCTGATCTGCACTGGGCTTCCAGAAAGTTTGAGTAAATTTGCCTTTCTGCCTGGTACATCTCCCTGTTTTAGTGCTTAAAAAAAAAGAATGTCCTTTGGAAAGAAGTGATTTAGCCAGGAGAAAAACAAAACAATCAAGAAAAAATAATAAGAGAAGCTTTTTGTTTTGTTTTGTTTAATGGTTGGTCAAATTAGAGAATTTAGGGTTGGGCTCAGAAAAAGCTAGTGTAGTGGTAGGTGATTTGCTTAGTTCTGTGGACCTTCAGTGGAAGACACTATTGACCACTAAGGGCTCTTTACTCTCAGAGCCAGTGGGAGGGGGCAATTTGAGTGCAAACCATGTCACAAATCTGGGGGACTGCAGGTCATGAACCATTCGAGCAGATGGTTTTCCACTTTTCCAGGTTTTCTAGAGGAACCACAATTACAGCAAGCAAATTGATTCCATAGACAATTATGTTTAAAAAAATTTTAAGGATCTGTAATATAGAGAAAATCAGATCATATGATCTAATTGTCCCTCTGATTTTTTAAGCAATTCCTGAAGTGATCTGTTTGCTCACTGATTCAGTGTTATTTGGGTACTTGTTGGTTTTCCTGCAGACCATACATGATTTCAAACCACTTTCAACTCCTGCTGAGCCAGTTGAATGAGTTCAGACTCTGTTTGTTGCAAGTAACTCAGCTCATGCAGAACTTTGATATGGATGTCACATCTAAATTGTGTTTCCTTGAAGGAAAGAATGAGTGAGTCTCAAAGGAAGAATTCTGTTAACTTAAAAACAAGTTGCTTCATATCCATTCCCAACCACTGTGTCAATTAGAAGAAGTCAAATAAGGAGAGAGGGTACTTAAGACAAATTTTGAAAGATTTCATAGCATATTTTAGAATTGTCAGGGAATTATTTTTTTCTTTGTGGATTCTTCTTTGCTTTTGTTTTAAAAGTAATTGAGTTTTCTTCAAAAAAGAAGAAAGGTTAAGCATAGAAATACGGGATTTTTTTGCTGAAGCTGTCAGTATCAACAAACAAGAGTAGTCTGGCTGAGGTGAGAAATGGAAAAAATAAGTATTTTAAAATGTATTTGCAGCCATGGCTAAACAAATAGTATTCTGGAATGGTAGTAATCTTTGCGGGTACTAATAAGATGCCAGGCTTCTTTCAGATATTTTTCATACTTGTGACCAAATGTGTATTAAAACATAATGTTTACAAATATGTGAAAATCACAACCCTAAAGGGGTGGCGGCCTGGTTTTGTGTTTTTCCTGATTGCCTCTAAAGAGCACTTGGAGCACACAGTGTGCTAGAATCTGCTGCTGGGAATTTCTGCCTGCGACATCCACTTCAAATATCATTCGCAGCTTAAACACATTAGAACCACATGGCTTACTGTGAACTTAAAAAAGAAAAGAAAAATTGCCCTTAAGACTGTTTTGTTTAGGGTTTTGTTTTGTTGGTGTTTTGTTGTTACTGCTTTTGGTTTTTTTACACTTTGCTTCATTGTGAAAGGCTGAGGCAGCAGATTTTTTGAGCTTGTGTAGGTTCTATGTGCAAACCATGTTTTTCAGACTACAGTTTTTAAAAATGAAATATATCTGTTTCTCCAAACTCAAATTGCTGCATTTTTCTTGACTTCATGAAACTTGGCAGTGGATCCTGTGTTCTTTCAGCATTTCTGTATCCCCAGCTGAATGTGCTCAGAACTTCCCAGTGGTAAAGACTAGAGATTTTATATTGTTGGAATGAAAGGAGTATCCAGGCATGGCTTGAACAGTTTCAGTTTTCAATTACATAAAACAGGTTTACGATCTGAAGTTGTATTATTTGGCACTTTTTTAGTAGCAAAGTGATTTGAGTGATTGAGATGATGGGAAAGGCAGAGATATGTTGTGTTACAGCTGTGGTTTGTCCTGCAGTTGAGAATGCATTTACATTTCTATACCCCAATATGTAAGAATCTAATTCATTATAATATGCAGATAAATTTCCAAAAAGAGGGTTTAGAAATTTTGGGGGGATATTGAGATGATGGGAAAGGCAGAGATATGTTGTGTTACAGCTGTGGTTTGTCCTGCAGTTGAGAATGCATTTACATTTCTATACCCCAATATGTAAGAATCTAATTCATTATAATATGCAGATAAATTTCCAAAAAGAGGGTTTAGAAATTTTGGGGGGATAACAGTTTGTCTATCACAGGGAAAAAAAAAAAATCACTGTTACACTGCAAAAGGGGTAGCAGACTCAAGAGCTGGGGAAAAAGAAATAGGCATCAGCCACGAAATCATATCCTTGTTTCTAATAGTTAAAATTTGGGTGGTAGTTGGGGATTTTTTTGTTTGTTTCAGTCGAACCTGTATATAATGTGTTGACAGTAGTTTTGCTTTGTGGCACTTAATGCTTCTGGACACCAGATGGTGCTGCTAAACTGTCGAACGTGTGGTTTTCACACTTTTTTTGGAAAGTGATCTACAGCAAAACAACTTCTGCTGTTTAAGGACAATGGTCTAAAAATTATAATGTAAACTGAAATGTATTTTTAAATCAATATTTTATATCTCACTGGGCAAAAACTGCCATTAGCTGGTGTTTCTCCTGGGTATATTACTTACTAGCTACTTGACACTTTCAAAGTTTGATTTATAATTCGTGCCATTTAAACTTGATCTGATGCGCCTTTATTGCCAGGTTAAAACTGCAAAGAATAGTTCTAGAGGTGAATTAAATCTCACAAAGTGATAATGAGGGTGAATTTGAGTTGAGTGGAGGATTTTTTTTTTTTTTGTCTCTTCAGCTTGAGTAAGACTGTCAAAAAATGTAGTACTCCTCTGTTAATGTTTTTTTGAAAAGATATGATGGCTTAGCTACTTACTTGCATTGCTGAGAATTATTTTAATACTGTGATGTACCTTTGGCATTTGGTTTATTTTAAGTTGCTTATCATGTTCAGTAAACTCATCTGGTAGTCCCAACGGTGGGGCTGGAGGGATGGAATGATAGATTTGGTTTTTAGCTGAATCTCAAAGGTTGGTGGTACAGTTTATCACTGAACTAGAAATAATGTATTTAAATTTGTGTAAGCAGTGAGGAAATTTTTGATAACTGTTTTAGTCCATTTTTTCTTACAAGTCTTTATTTCTTTCATAGATCCCCATATTAAAGTTTCTGGAAAAAAGGAAAATGTTAAAGAAGCAAAAGAGAAAATAATGTCTGTCTTGGACACAAAAGTAAGAAAGAACTTTGACACCTTAGCTGCGAATTTTATAGTGATATTGATCTCTTTAAATGGGCTCATTTAAACAGAAGGTATTTATGGACACTCCAAAGGAAAGCCTGAAAGTTGATACTTGGTGTATACACAAATATTTAAACATGCAACAAGAAAACACTTGCTTAAAGCACTTTTTCCACATCTGAACTATATAGCAATAATATTTCTGGATATGTGGCTAGAAGTTTATGCAGTTTGTTCCTTGAATTGGGATTTTTACTTTAAAATCTGACTTATAGTAGATTCAGCAAACCTAAAATTTGGGTTTAATTTGAAATTAAATTTTAGGAGCATTCATGCAGTTCTGTTTTTAACTGTTACTGCATTCTTATACTGTGAAACATTAGAATTTCTAAAACGTCAAGGATTTGGCCAGAAGTCTCATGTGTTCTTCAGATTTTTTTTTTGTCTCAGTAGTGACTCTTCTAGGGCAGCATGCGTGGCCTCTGCAGAGCTGTACACGAGGTTTTTGATTCCCTAAACAGATTGCCAAAAGCAACATGCCAGTGATAAGTGCATTTTTTTAACACCTATTATGAGTTATTGTGGACTGTTAACAATATACCTTTAAGAACAACTGTAGGCAGTGTTTGTATACTTTAAAAATTCATGTACCAGAAAAATTTTGTGTGTTTGAAATCCTGTTATTGTAGGACTCCTGGCCTTGTGCTTTGCCAAACTCTTAATGACATGATAATTTCAGATCAGACAGGGATGTGTGACTGTAACTGAAAGAATAAGAATTAAATAAATTAGACTGGATTGCAAAAGGACATGTAAGTCACAATTGATAAAAGTTAGGGCACATTTTGAACAGCTTAGACATTGTCTGAATGTGTATCTTTGAGGTATATGTTTCCATGTCTTTTCCGGATTGGAAAGAAAATGTGAGTGTTTTAGCATCTGACTATGATCCATATTAAAAACAACTTGAGTAGAAGTTAAGCCTCTGCAAAAATACTTTGGAAATACAATTTTGAATGTCACTCTTGAGGTCACATCACTCTAAAATACTCAGGTTCTGCTTTGAACAACTCTAATCCTGGGTGCTTGATTTCCAGAGCAACCGGGTAACCTTGAAGATGGATGTTTCACATACAGAACATTCTCATGTGATAGGTAAAGGTGGCAATAATATTAAAAAGGTGATGGAGGAAACAGGATGCCATATCCATTTTCCAGATTCAAATAGGAATAATCAGGCAGAGAAAAGCAACCAAGTAAGTATTGGCTAATATTTTAATTCATTTATACTGTGATTCCTGAGAGTATAAACCATTTCTAAACTTTCATCAATTAGGGTTTTTCTGGGGATAGGTGAGTTCATGTTCAGGGAAATCAGCTGTTGGTATTTATACTCTGTGGAAAGTCTGGGGTTTCCTAAGTGAGCAAATCTGTAAAACAGATGGAAACACTTTGTGATGGCTCATGAATCATTTTTTTATATATATAATTAAATTATTTTGAACATAGAGAAGTCAACAACTTGGTGTGAATGGTAGAGAAGCAGTCTGAAAAGCACTGCTTTTGCATATTTTTTCCTGTTCAACTCCTGACTTATTTAGCATATTGATTAATTTCTTGGTGCTTTTGGCTTATGCTGTAATCTGCTTGAAAACTAAACTTGGTGGATATCTAGCAAAAGTGAGTATCCTACTGTAAGAATTCAACTTAATTAGAATAAGTAGTGGAATCTGAACTGTACATCTTTTATAATGCTAGGATTACTAGGATGTTTACTTTCAAGTCTTCCATCACTGCACTTAGAATTCCCTCTTGTGCATCCTGGTGGCTGCTGAGCAAAACACAGTAATTTAAAAATGTTCAAGAAAGCCTGCTGTTGTTGAATGTGAGCACGTGTATACAGGAGGAATTCCATTATTTGATCCAAACAGCTGAATTATTTGATGTATCGATTTTTTTCTAGTTGCTGAAGCTTATGCTCAAGATGCTGTAATATTAATAGATTATCCTTTTACTCTGATTTTTGTTTTCAGCTACTGTTCAGAGAACACTGTCACCAGGTGTGAAATAAGTGTTGGCTTTTATTTAAAAAAAACAAAACCTCACAGTTAACTTTTCCAATAACTTTTCCAATCCCTCATTTTTAAATGTGATGTTGTGTTTTCTATATTCTTGCTCTTTCAGGTGTCTATTGCAGGACAGCCAGCTGGAGTGGAGTCTGCAAGAGTTAGAATTCGGGTAATAGTCTATTTCAGTATAGTGTTCCCTTGAAAACACCTGAAAGGAAAACAAATTATAGTTTTGAGAACCGTAGGGTTGTCTGGCTCTGTCTTATGAGAGCAGAAATATAAGAACAATGTGAGTATCCATATGAGCAAAATGCAAAGGGTATTGTAAAATCAGCAATTCACATTCTGGCCAGATGTATTTCTAGCCCAAAGTGGATCTTGAACATGAAGTCTCCAGTATAAGTAAGATGTAAACTATCACATATTATGTCTACAATTGCATCTTAAGGTACCCTGCAGAGATGGCCTTTAGAAGCTCAGGCTCTATTGTTACAACATAGTTGCAAAAGATCCCGCTATTTTGGGGAAGGAAAAACAAACAAGAAAAACCCAAACAACAATAATAAAGCCCATGCAAAACAAAAAGCTTTGATCTCCCTGAAAAATTGGTGGCTTTTCTTTTTCCCACTAAAGATATTATATTGTTTTTATCTTCTGCCCAGAGTTCATTGTTGTGTTATGTTAATTTAATTGTCACTGACCAACACATTGCTTCAGTAATTAAATGTTTGTAGTTTTAGTATTATTTCAGTTCTCAATATTTGCTTTTCGATATTGTTATAGGAGCTGCTTCCATTGGTACTCATGTTTGAATTGCCTATTGCTGGAATTCTCCAACCAATCCCGGATCCTAATTCTCCAACAATTCATCATATATCTCAGACATATAACATTTCAGTTTCCTTTAAACAACGTTCTCGAATGTATGGTGCTACAGTCATTGTCAGAGGGTCACAAAATAACACTAGTGCTGTGAAGGTAACGTGCCTTCTGAAGTAGGTTTCAGCATGTGATAAGTATAATCATAATTTAGATATTTAAGCATACATTAATGTTATGTCCTGCCTAGTGTTATATCATCAGTACATGTTGTTAGTGTACAATCACTTTTGAAGCCTTAAGGTTTGTTTTTCTTAAAAAAAACTTAAATAGTATAAATAAGGTGTAAAAATGCATAGAAAATTGTTTTAAGTTTAGAATTTAGTGTTGGTTGTGCTAAGCTTTTAATCTGTTTTTCATCTCTTCCATACCTGTGTGGGTTTCCAGCAATTCTAGAATATATGTTAATCTTACTCATCTTGAATTTTTTTAAAAATAAACCAAAACACCACAAAAAAAACCTAATCCAAAACAAACTCCATGACAAGAGACAAAAACCTCCCCTTTAATTTTTCATTATTTGCTCTTCTCAACATGCACTCAGAGGTATAACCTTGAAAGTTGCCCTGTCAGTTAAACTGGTCTTGTGAACCTGGGATTGGGAGATGTGAATTTAACAGTCAAATAAAGGAACTGCTGTGAGCCTTCTTAATTAAAAAAAAAAAAATAAATGTCATTTTCCATGCCTGTCAGCACTGTTTTATGTTTCTTGCATCTCCCTCCCAGGAAGGAACAGCCATGCTTTTAGAACACCTTGCTGGGAGTCTGGCCTCTGCAATCCCCGTGAGCACACAACTAGACATTGCAGCACAGCATCATCTCTTCATGATGGGTCGAAATGGCAGTAACATCAAGCATATCATGCAGAGGACTGGTGCTCAGATACACTTCCCTGACCCTAGTAACCCACAGAAGAAATCTACTGTCTACCTCCAGGGCACAATTGAGTCTGTCTGTCTTGCCAGGCAATATCTCATGGTAAATACTTTCACTGAAACTTTTTTGAAAAAAGTGCCAGATTATAGAAAATATGTTCATTCTGCATGTATTTGTCAGCCAAATGCAAACTAGCATAAAAGAGGTACGATTTTGCTACTCACACTGCAAAAAGCTGACTCAGTTGAGTGCTCTGTTTTTGTCAGTGTTCTCTGAATGTTTGTAGTTAGCCAAACTTTGTAATCTCTGAGATCATTAATTGTGAAACAACTTTAGGAATATAAATGCAACACAAGTAATGTAACTTTACAATAATAATATGCTTCTGAGTAGAAGGCAGATTTTGGAGGGCTTTGTTGTTTTTGGGTGATGAGTTGTTTAGTTTTGCTAACGTGCGTTTTCCATGTTCATCAGGTAAGTAGCGTTTTTTTGGGGAAGAAGTGGTAGGAATTTCTTTGGTCCCCTGTAGGGGAGTCTTTAAGGAAATTGGGCAGCTATTGGAAGTACTTACTCATTCTTTAGTTTTATGTTCTTTCTAGAACCATAGCCTCAGTACTTCTATAAAAGGCCTCAGGCCTTTATATAAAAATAGTTCTAGTGATTAATATTATTTGTACAGGCTTTTGCTGTGTTGGTCTTTAAGCTTCACAGGAACCTTTAGGCACAGCTGTAGCACTAATGTTGGTACATGGATTTTTATGTCTATGGCTATTTTCAAACAACACAGGATTAGTAAATTCAAATCCAGTTCAAAACTGGTATCAGGATAAACCAGGATACCATTAAATTCCAGAAGTCCACTCTTCCATTGCACCATGCCTTTCTCTATAGTGGAAAATAGAGACATGGTGCCTTTCTATTTCTACAATTATAGTCACAATTATTATACTGTAGGATATTGTTATCTTTAAATAGTAAGAAATAACTTTAATCTGTGTTTCCTTGGTGAGATTTAAATAGTACTTTTCTGAAGGTTCATGAAGTAGAAAAAAATGCAAGCAAGCTATCAATTGAACACCAAAGTATACCTTTATTCTCAAAACTTAGGTTTATGCAAGAGCCATATTTTTCAATATTGACGTTTGATTTAATAATTCCAAACACATCAGTACAATCTAGTATCCCCCATCACAGCTGCTCTATCGCCCTTTTACAGACTGTGCTGGTCAGCAGACTTAGTTTCAGCTCACAGGCTTTACATGTCCAGAAACAATTGTTTCCAATTTTGTAGATGAAGTTTAAAAAGCAAATTTTGTAGAGAAGGAATATCTTTTCAAACAGTAAGAATTTGAAAAGCTGAGGGAAAAAGTAACTAAGTAAATAACAAGATAAAAACTCATCTCCCGTTCCTAATTTGATAAAACCAGTGTTTTTCAGCTTCAGATAAAACCCCTTAAATATGCCAGCCATGCCAAGACCTCCATACAGATAGAAAGCTGCAGTCATTTTCAGCTTCTGTTGATGTCAATTTCACTTGTTTTCTTTTTGTTCAGTGGGGTGAGATTTCTGCTGTGGACTGATTTCCCACAAGGTGCAACTGCAAGTTGGCCTTCTCACCTTCTCATAGTGCCATCTATGAAATTTGCTTAGTAGTATGTCTCAATGGAAACTTGAATATCAACCAATAATTAGTTGAAAAGGCTTTGGATTCTCTGGTGTATAAAGTGTGAATATCCCTTATCTCTGACAAGCACTGGAAGTCTCAGTTTCTAATCACCAGCATATTGCTTGAAGGAATATATTGAATGTGGTGGATAAGACAACATTCATAATAGTCATGAGGGCAAATTGTGAAAAGAAGAAAGAATACTTAGTGATTTAAAATTAAATACTTAACTATATGAGAGGCATTTTGACTCTTATTTAAGATGGTTTTTTCTATGTCTTCCACTTATTCCAAACCCTTTGGTTTCATCTCTATTTTGATCATCATATTGAAATACTTACTTTTTGATAGTTTTATATATAATAATGAGGACTGTGCTATATTTTATTGCAAAAGATATATTGGTGACATAGCTCTGTTCACTCACCTCCTGTCAAAGAACATTATTTGTATGTAAGAGTCCTACTATCGATTCCTGGCTACCTGTTAATTCAGAACAAAAGATTATAATGGTTTCTGAATTTAAATCCTCCAGACAGGTCCAATTCCGTATAAATAGCTAATGCAGGGTGCATATGTGCTGATTGCAATGTCAAGTATTCAATAGCACATGCCTCTCACATCTTTCAAGTAGCAAAATACACCTGCGTTCTTGTGTACAAGGAAGTGGCTTTCCTTAGAATTTCATCCTTCCTATTTTTTTCTTTTTACTGTATCATGATGTGCATGTGTTACAATTCATGTTTCATTGTACTGCTAACATTTTCATGGGTAGGTTATAAGTTTTATAAAAGCTTGCATCTTGTCTTCTCAGGGTTGCCTTCCTCTTGTGCTCATGTTTGATATGAAGGAAGAAATTGAAGTAGAACCACAGTTTATAACACAGCTAATGGAGCAATTAGATGTCTTCATAAGCATTAAGCCGAAGCCAAAGCAACCAAGCAAGGTTGGTGAAAAGCTAATGGTTTCTTTTTAGGCTTTCATGACAACTTTTGGGAGCTGACGAGTTGACATAGCTGCTCCTCCTCCCTAACTTAATGGATAATAAACTTGTAAAAGGAATATGTTTTCTGCTTGAAATATCAATTTAAATGTTGCAACAGCTCTCCTTTATGGTAATATGACTTTTTCATTAAATATTTGACAATACAGAGACTAGCTTTTGAATGGAAGATACTGGTAAAATAAATAAATTACAAGGAGATAGATTTTTATCTGACTAGAGCTACTCTTCATTTGTTTTTAAAGAAATTAATCTTAAATTGCAGCTCCTGCCACATAACTGCAGTGTTCTTTAGCAATGAGAAACACACAAACAACAAAAAAACCCACAACAAAGCATGCAATATGACTGAGAAAAGTCTGACTGCTCTACATAAGATGTTAAAAAGAATCACAAGAAGTAATTGCAAAATACTTCTAATAGCAGATCTTCATTGTAAAATAATCAGGTGCATATGGATGCAAGATTTGCAGTTACCTGCATTGTTGTGTGCCATGCTTTAACAGTCAGAAGTCTCAATTTTAAATTACTATTGCATTATATCAGTAAGTAAGCTTCTCTGTGTAGGGATATACAAAATCAATGCAAAGAAACATCTTGTAAAGAATATACAAGAAACAATTACTGGTTTTTGCAGCTTATTTTTCTGGGCATTTGTTACTTTATTTTCAGACAGCTATGAATTAAGTAGCTGAGTTTAAAATGCACAATTTTTTTTTGTTGTTTCAAGGCATACACCTCTGATAGAAGATAAGATTGTAATTATTGCTTCACTTTTTTAGACCCTGGGGTGCTTAAGACTTGATATACCAAGTAGCACCAGGGTACTATCATACTTGTCTTTCTTGGACACAAAGGACTTCCATCATTCTTGTTGTCAAGTGCATGCAAAATCCCTAAGCTTACCAGCAAGGCCGCTGAGTTTAGGTAGTTACTAATGGACATTCTCATGCTGTCTCACTGCTGTTTCTGACAGCCATGAGGGAGTATTAAGAGGAGTTGTGTGTGTGTCACAGATTCATGTTACGTAATCGTGTTACTAATTGTTTTTTCCTTTTTTCTTGTTTTCTTTTTTTCTT